GAAGAGTTGTCTTTGTTATATTTTCATAGATACATGTGGTTTTGAGAGGAGATTTCCTCTGCTCTACTCATGCTGCCATCTTGGCTCCACCTCCGACTCTATGTTTTTGATTGGTGCATTCAGCCCATTTACATTTAGGGTGATTATCGATAAGTATGTACTTATTGCCATTGCAGGCTTTAGATTCGTGGTTACCAAAGGTTCAAGGTTACCTTCCTTACTATCTAAGTGTCTAACTGAACTCACTTAATATGCTGTTGCAAACACAATCTAAAGGTTGTTTTCCTTTTCTCTTCCTTTTTCTTCCTCCTCCTTTCTTTATATATTAGGTATCATATTCTGTATTGTTTGTCTATCCCTTGATTAACTTTGGGGATAGTTAATTTAATTTTGTATTTGCTTAGTAATTAGCTCTTCTACTTTCTTTACTGTGGTTTTATTACCTCTGTTGACAGCTGTTTAACCTTACGAACACTTCCATCTATAGGAGTTCCTCCAAAAAGACTGTTGAGATGGTTTGTGGGAGTTAAATTCTCTCAGCTTTTGCTTATCCTTAAATTGTTTAATCCCTCCTGAAAATTTAAATGATAATCTTGCCGGATAAAATTATCTTGGATCCGGCAATTCTGCTTCATGGCATTAAATACATCATGCCACTCCCTTCTGGCCTGTAAGGTTTCTGCTGAGAAGTCTGATGTTAACCTGATGGGCTTTCCTTTGTATGTGATCTTATTTCTCTCTCTGGTTGCTTTTAATAGTCTGTCCTTATCCTTGATGTTTTCCAATTTTGTTACTATATGTCTTGGTGTTGTCTTCCTTGGGTCCCTTGTGTTGGGAGATCTGTGGATCTCCATGTTCTGAGAGATTATCTCCTTCCCCAGATTGGGGAAGTGTTCAGCAATTACCTCCTCCAAAACACTTTCTATCCCTTTCTCTCTCTCTCTCTTCTTCTTCTGGTATCCCTATAATGTGAATATATTTCTGTTTGGATTGGTCACACAGTTCTCTCAATATTCTTTCATTCTTAGAGATCCTTTTTTCTCTCTGTGCCTCAGCTTCTTGGTATTCCTCTTATCTAGTTTCTATTTCATTTATCGTCTCCTCCACTGTATCCAACCTGCTTTTAATACTCTCCATTGTGTTCTTCAGTGATTGGCTCTCTGACCGGAATTCATTCCTGAGTTCTTGGATATCTTTCCGTACCTCTATTAGCATGTTCATGATTTTTATTTTGAATTCCATTTCAGGGAGAGTCAGAAGGTCCATGTCATTTAAATCTTTCTCCGGAGTTATATTAGTTTTACTGTGGACCAGTTTTCTTTGGTGTTTCATATTTGTATATTGCGCCCTCTAGTGTCCAAAAGCTCTACTCTCTGGAGCTGCTGAGCCCTGAAGTAATGTTGGGGGTAGCAGGGGAGCGGTATTGGTACCCTGTTCTGTGAGGCCTGCTCTTTTCTCCAGGTGTATACAGTCTGGCGCAGTCCTCTTTCCTGTTGCTCTCTCAGGATTACTTCCACCAACTATTTTTTTGAATTGTTTGCGGTTTTAGGAGGAAGCCTCTGTCTCACCTCTCACCCCGCCATCTTAATCCTCCTGCAATTGAGCTTCATGCATGGTGAGGTACAATCACATTTTTTTTAAATGTGGTTTTGAGAGAGGAGGAAACGGGCAGAATCCATGATGGGAAATATCATGAACTTTTTCAGGAGTTCACAGTTCACTGAATCATCCTATAGTAATAATAATAGCAACATATATTAAATGCCTACTGTTTGCCAGAAACTACTTTAATAACTTCCTCTGTATTAACACCTGCAGTCCTCACAAGTCCATGAGATAAGGACTATGATTGTCTCAGTTTTCATACGAAGAAACTGAGATACAGAGAGGTTACTTACCTGACTTGAACTTAATTCAAGGTCAACCAGCTAGTGAGTGTTGGGGCTGAGATTCTAACCTACATAGTCCGACTTCCACTATAGCTCTTTACTAAGGGCCAGACGAATGGCCCTATAGTGAACAGTACCCTATTGGTAGTGCCTTGGGCATATTGGTAAATAAACCCAAGATTTTATAGATAGGTCTAGAAAAATGAGTATTTAAAAATTTTTTTAGTGAATTATCCTATCAGTTTGAGAATTATATCATGTTGTTTAATATATCATTTTTAAGAGGGAACCGATTAAATTGATGGTTAATGTAAAGAAACTATTCTAAGAATATAAACACATTTCAATTTTGACAAGGGTGTAGTTTTTTTCATATTTTCCAGGTCCTACTTAAAAATTTTTTCTTTCAAGGCAGTCCGTTGTCTAAATATGCCCTATGATAATCTTAGGAATACTTACGACATCCTCTGTTTATTTCAGCTTTATTGTTTTCTGAGCCTTTACTTAATCCTTAAAGTTCTTTGTATTTTAGTTCTTCGTTGTCTATAAACTTGGCTTCAGTCTAAGTTCAGATGCCTAAAATAGTTTCTGTTTTGCAGCCCTAAATATTATTTTGTGATTATAACTACATATTTGAATTATTTTCTGAGCAATGAAAAAACAAGTGTGAATACAGTATATTTGAAGAGGAAAAAGGGTCTATTCAAATAAAACCAAGAAACAATAACGTGTATTATTGTAGTTACAAATGATCACATTAAATGTCTTGTTGGCAGGAATGTTTCTATGTAGACTTAGTCTCTAAATAGCAGGATAAGCTTCCAGGAGTTTTTGATACATTTCTCTCTTGCTGTTTTTTTAGCAAGAAAATGATCAGTGGAGTTTGTCCTCCAGCGGTCTGTGCTCCATTCTGAGCACATAGACGGCTGTCTTCTGAGATTTTATATTCCAAAGAGCTTACGTGCTGATATATTTCTCATTCAAAATGTTAAATTTTATTTCTCAGTTTTTCTGTTCTTCTCAGTTACTCATTTCTGTTGCAGTGAGTATCATCAGTGGTCGACTGAGCGCTAGCGGGAGGTTTTTTCGTAGGTTGCAGTTGTCCTTGTTTACCATATAGATCTTTAGAGATGGCTCTTAATGTTATATGCCCATGCATCATGTCAACCATAGTATGATCATTCTAAAGTGTATAAAACATTCTGACTAGATTTTACTCTGGAAAGCCAGTGGTCTCAAGTATGTTTATGTTGGTGCCATTCTATGTAGTATCTTTGGGCATTTCGTTATTGCTGTCACTCATCAAATTCTGTAAAATGGGCATTCTTGTATTCTTTTGCAGAGGTTCCCACAACATCATGTGATAACCTATCTCTTTTCCAGACTGCAGAGCTATAAAGTTGACATCTGTATTGCTGTTTTAGTTCTCAGATGGGGGTGAAATGCCTGTGTGTGGCAAGCTTATAGATCTTACAGTGAGCTGTCAGTTGCTATATGATTAGAAAGCCCACCTTGTATTACTTGTTCTAGACTGCAGTGTTTGTTGCCTCACAGACAATATCCAAAGTGGTACTTGACGAGGACAATGAGGATCCGTTCTCTACATTTTGTGAAATAACACTGCTGAGCTTTGCTCAATGTATGGTGCAGACCACCCAGGGACTGGTGGCTTGGAGTTGAGGGGGATCCTCTGGGGAGTGTGAGGCCATCTCTATGGTGATGAGCCTTCTCAAGCTTGGGTCATAGCCCATCAGAGGCACACATAGCAGCCACTGCAACCTCCTGACCTGCATAAAATAAGAGGAAAGTGCAAAGAGAAGGAAGGGGCAGGAAAGGGAACTGACATTTGGTAAATGCCTGCTAAGTGTGGGCATTGTGCAGAGAAGACAAAAAACCTATGACACACACACATATATATATAT